GGCCAAGAAGCTGCGGAGGCAGCAGCGAGCAGCGGGGGCCGGGGGCCGCGTGGTGATGATGTGCGAGGAGGTGCCCGAGGCGCCCGACGGGCCTGGCCTCAGTGGCTCCCCCCACTCCGTGCACTCGGCCCTGCGCCTGCAGGAAGTGTAGGCATTCGGGGGGCTGCTGCGGTCCCCGCGCAGACCGATGCTGCCGGGCTGGCGCTGGGACGTGGGGCTGTGCCACTGAGAGGCGGGGGGGGGTCCAGAGCCGCCCTCCTGGGTCCCCCCGAGCGTCTCGACACTGGCTGGCTGCAGAGGGGTGAAGGGTTGAGGCTGCCTCAGCCAGGATCGGGGCCCTGGACCCTGCATGTGCCGTTCCCGCGGCTCCCTGCACCCGCGGGACGGGTGCTGGCGCAGGAGCGTGGAGAGTTGATCCTGGCAGGGCGGGTTGAAGTGGGCAGGGCCGTGCCCGGGGGCAGTAGTGGAGCTGGGAGGTGTCTGTGGGGCGCCGTGCCGGGCCCGCGCTTTGGTCTCCGTGCTTGCTGTGCCTCGGGCATGGAGGGGGCCAGCACCTGGCTCCTGCCCCTGGCTCACGTGTGCTCCCCGCAGGCCCATGCTTATCGACATGAACAAGGTGTACCGCCAGACCAACCTGGAGAACCTGGACCAGGCCTTCAACGTGGCCGAGCGGGACCTGGGCGTCACCCGCCTGCTGGACCCTGAAGGTACGGGGTGGGAGGGCCCCGACACGACTGCCGCGGCACCCCGGCACGGCCTTGGGGACCCCTGGGCTGCCTCTGCCTTCGCCCCGCTGCAACCCTGCATCTCGGGGTCTCGCCTGGAGAGTCTTGGTCCCGGGGCCCCGTCAGCCCCAGTGGCATGGTTGGGGGCAGGAAGGGATTTCCCCCCAGCCCTGGTCCAGTCGGCATGGCCTGGGGGGTTTTGCCGTCTCTAGGAGGGGGCACGGCCTCTGGCGAGCAGGTCACAGCTCCCTCGTGTCCTTGCAGACGTGGACGTGCCGCAGCCGGACGAGAAGTCCATCATCACCTACGTCTCGTCGCTGTACGACGCCATGCCCCGTGTGCCCGACGTGCAGGATGGCGTCAAGGCCAACGTGAGTGTGGGGCCGGGGCCGGGGCCGGGGCCGGGGCCGGAAGGGAGGGAGGGAGGGAAGGAGGGGGCCCGGGCGCT